CATTAAATTTTTATTCATTTCAGTCTTATTACTAATCTTACTCTGCAAATATGCACCTATTTGTTTAATGTTTCAGGAGTAACAATAACATGAGATTCTACGCGATATGCTGTTAAGTTAATTAATTTACCCTGTCGTCAAATCAACAAATTTCATTTGCGAAAAAACACGCAATAATAACAATATACAATTACAAGTAATAATAATTATAGGCAACTGCAGTACAAGCGAAATGCAGCCATTCCTAAGCTACAACTGCAAAGTCCACGCTCCACGTTTCCACACTCCAAGTTTCTTGCGCTACTTTAGAAGTTATTCGCCATATTTTGTATCAGGTGGAAACCGCAGAGCCCACGGTAATATGAAATTACTTTAGAAGCCCATCGCGTTATTTCTTCGTTTGAAAAGCAAGCATACGCAAATGCAAGTTAGCATATATGTACATGTTAAAATACTTCGAATAAATTATCATTTGCAAAAAAAGGCGCATACATTTGCGTAATAAATTTATATTTATGTGTGAAAATTTATCAATAAAAATTTTAACGTCTTTAATTTCTTAACTTTTAAATTCATTTATTTATTAATTGTTTAATTTTTTAATATACCCCTAACGTCATATTTAATCAAGATACTTACGTGCTGCCTTGTAGATAGCCTTAATTTCAGGTTCTAACGGTTTAATTATGTTACCCTTTGGTGCACCTGACTGCATGGCTTTTACTGTCCTGGCCAAGGCTTGACAAGACGCCCAAAGGATTTGTATATTCGACGCACCCTTCTCTTCCTCCATACGAGCTGAAACAAAAATATTTCACTTAAACTGATTCATGTTTAGATAAAAATTCCTTGCGGTCGAGAGAAACTTACTCTAACATTCTCAACTATTAAAAATTTAAATAGTTTTGTTAATAGCCTGGGACGAAAGTTTATATCGTGCTGATGAAAGCTTGAAAATCGCGCTCGTTTTTCTTCACTAACATAATTTTGCATTTTTGCGGTCGTAAATTACTGAAAGAGATAGCTAGTAGAATTTATATTCGAAAGTTATTACGCGCTAGAAATTTAAATATTGCAAGAATACCAGACAAAAGTTCGACTTAGAATTTAGTAATTTACTTGTCGCAGATATATATGTCGTATGTGTTGTATACATTAATGTATGCGATAAAACTTAATATTTATATCGTTATTAAGTCCAATATTAAATTGAGAATCATCAATATTTTCCGCGAATTATCAGAACAAAAAAGGGAGAAACCTACGATCGATTCATAACATTCGCTTGTCTAATTTAATTTGTGCCTACATATCCGTTATGGTTCCCCGATCATTCAAAGATCCTCAAGGGTACCGCCGTGATGTTACTGCAGTGACAAACATTTCGCGCATTTCTGTGACATAAAATTTTTCAATAACAGCGTTCGTCATGGGAAAATCCGGATATGTATGTGAATTATGAAACCGTGTTCTCTCGACATGTGCTCGCAGTCTGAAAGGCCGCGCAAGATCGGCGTTATACATAATCCTGTTCGTAAACAAAGATAAAACTTGGACGCTAACAAAAATGTAATTCATTTATTGGAACAATAAAACGATTTATATCTCGCGCTGGAGATAATAATGCATTTTGCAATAGCCACAGATTCACGAAAAACAATAATAACTGCAATAGACGGAGAAATAAACAGTCGCGCGATGAACGGACTTTATCGTCAATACGGTCGAACTGAAAATGTGAATATCGTTTATATCGTGTTAAATGTTGTCATATGATTCGCGCCGCATGTACGCGTGAAAATATTGTTTTGAAATATATTCGATGGGTCAATTAAATGGTAATATAACTGCGATATTTGTGTATTTGTTAACTTCACCGCGACTAATTAAATCATCGTTAAATTATCATGCCATGACATAATCAGCATTTAATCGACGGCATGACGAGCATCCACCTGTCGATTGACGATTGATGAACTGTAAATCGGCTAGAAAGATGTTCGGCATGGCCGTTAACGCCGCTAAGGCTGCCAAGAGAAACGGGATTCAGCTGGATTTCGGTGCTTCTAGCGTGATTTATTACGCGTATCAATTCAGATGGGGTTTACGGAGCGATTTCTTGTCTAGAGAAAATTACTCTACTCGGTTAGAGATTTTCCGTGCTCTCTTCCGTTTCAGCCTATAGGATAACTCCGGTATATATGTCGCACCTATTAAAAACTTAATTTATTAAGTATTATTTACTATGTTTATAGTAAACGAACTATATCAGTAAAAACTTTGTACTGTCTATTACTATGAAAAAAATATTAGAAATCCGAAATATTTATTTTTCATATTAAAAAATAAATTTTTTGAAACCCTTACATTTTTATATATCCCATAGGGGTGGGATATATGGCTATTCATAGGAGCAGAGGGGATGTACGGCTCATGAAAAATCTACAAATAATGCATATAGATAAGACGTATAATGAAACAATAATTTATAAAATGTGTTTATAAAGTTTTATTGAGGAATGAGAATGGTAAATATGTATATGAAGTAATAAATAATAATTATAATCTTTCTATATATATTACAAGTGTTATGACATGAAGTACATATTTCATATAATGCGTTTATTGCATTTAGTACACTGAATTCAATCTGCGCATTTTGTACGCTTCGGGCATAAATCCCGCTCGCTAAAAATGCCGTATATTACAAACAGGTGGAATATATAATATAAGACAATAAACTAAACAAAGAATACGAAAGCAAAGCACTTATATTTTGCTACACAACATGCTTTACTGTTCCATTACAGGTATGTATCACGAAATAACTACTAAGTCTTTTACACGCCCTACATTAATTATTTTATGTAGATTATAATTTATGATGGCGTTACTTATTACAATGACAAATCGATTCAATTCACAATAAATTCATTAATATTAACAGAAAGAAGCTGAAATCATAACACGATACTAATATAACATAAAGACATAACAGAGTAGTTGCGGGAAAATTACTCCCACACCTTTTATTTTTTCTGACTTCTGCGGCGTAAATCTCAGCGCAGCATATTTGCCGGAGTTACCCTATATATATAAAATTTTTTCAAATCAGGGAATATTTCCTTTCACTATACAAAAAGAATGATTTTGTTGAAGTAAATATTTAAAAGCTCAATTACATACACACACAGATCTGAAGATAATTTTGTTGGGTCATCAAAGTAATTATGTAGGAACCATAATATAGGCAATACTGCAAAAAGTGTTGTGACATTTTAGCAACAGCTTGAGTTTTAAATCATTCTAATGATACAATAAAATTATTTTCAGATCTGTACCTAGCTAAATTTTTAGATACTTCAGTAAAATCTTTCACTGTGTGCGACGACATGTATGCGAATATCATGTCATATGAAAGAATAATAACCTTGATTTAGACAAAGTTTGATGAGTTTTAATTTTTGAATTCATAATATAACTTTCATTTTGCTGAGAACGTTTATCTAATTTAACATTATCGTCACTTCCCGAAATGACCAAAGCAATTACACTCAGTTCACGCTCGAGTTTCAGAGAGAAGCGCGAAAGCAAATTATGGTCTGTAATAAGTGCAATATTACTCTTTATAACGACAATCGCTGTAAAAGCTCGAACGTTTCGAGGACAGACACGCGCGTAATTAATCTCTCGCGATAGAAGGGATCCACCCTGCGATTTTATCATCGCGGCGAGATACGGGGCGCAATTTTGTCGCCAAAATATCATTATCGTGCTTTTTCATAAAACTTCCATAATACGTTCAGCAGGTTTAGTCAGCAAATCGCCGGTTATCTCCAGTTTTAAATTACTCGAGCTGAAATAATCGAATCTGTGATTCGTAGTCGCGGCAATATCATTTCTCGCGATGGCTATAAAATTCCAGTGCTCTTTAAGCTAATCCTTCGCGGGGTGTATTTTTATCTCCCCGCGATGCTTCAGAGAATGCTGGGTATAAACCGTATCAATTTCGCCGCATAAGCAAGCAACCTCGCAAATTTGCAACTGCAAACCAGTTCAGACCAAATTATCAAATCCGTCGCGCTATTTTGGCTTTATGACCCGCTCGGCTTTATTGGTGGTGCATTACTCACAGACCGCGACCGTCTGTCGCTATTTCCTTTTATGAGGTAGATCGAGAGTGCGATGAGTAATTTTCGCGAAAAATTAAATATAAGTCATATCGACTTGTCGGCCGAAATTCCGTCCGCGGGACGATATATGCATCCGCCATATGTATCCTGAAAACTAATTATTCTGCAGCATCCAGGTGGTTATTAAGTTCGCGGCTTTATATTCGTTTGCCAGTCATCATACGGTTTTATTGGCAATATCATTGAATCCGCTTAATGCCATATTGACCTAGCCATCTTACTTTTACGGTTTGCTGTTGAAATATGAATACATCTATTTCTTGCAAGAAAAGAAAGAATTTTAATTTGAATCTTGCAAATCACGAAATGTAATCTACATAAATAAATATGTAAATATGTAATAAAACAAGTATGCGTTTTTTAATATTTGATCACATAATATTATACTTAAATCTTGCTTAACTCGCAACACCCACTATTATATAATACAATACAAAAAAATACTATTATACATACAATCGATCAATTTTCATCAATTTTATCGCTACTAAAATGCAAAGTACTTGAAAGCTATAAATGGTAAAGATAAATTATCGAAAAGATATAGTACTTTAGACCATCGCTTTCTCACGCAGCACCACTTACATTTTCCGCATATAAATGACCGCTCATAAATTAATGCCTGGCGCTCCTCCTTTCTTCTCACGCAACGGATTCCAAATCGCATTGGCGGAACGCATCGACTTCAATGACTTAAAGCGACCGTAAAGCCAAAATGACAGACCGATTGCCCGACGTGCGATATATATCCCGAAATCTGTTTTCCTTCGCTCTCTCTTTTTCCTCCCTTTTCTTTCCGCACTTATATTGCCGCGCGATAGACTTTCAGCGAGCGATTCTCACGCCTGAGCAGGTCGGTGAGCATCGACGCGGAAAAAGGAGAACGTCGAAGGGCCCGGGACTGTTTCAAGCTGGATCCACTCCATCTCGTGGGTCGGTCCTGTTTCCTGTCCCTCTTCTTGCCAAATGAAATCACGTTATTACGTGGGTAAAGCCGTTCACGACTGGACCGAATGTCGTCGCGAAAAATTCCGGAATCCCATTAAATCCGCCGTGTATCCGTAGGAATTATCAAACTCCCGAATGAACGCGTCCAATTATTCCGGATAATTACTAGTTTGCCCGAGCGTACGCCGCGCCGACGGCGTATCGTTACTCTGAAGTTCCGCTCAGCGGTTTACCAAAATTAATTGTCTCACGAAGATTGTAATTACTGGACCGCGAATATTTTTTCCGCGTTTATCGACGGACGTAGTGCGTAAGAAAATAAAAAAAGAATAAATAAAAGGAAAAACGTTTATAAATGTGTCTTTTCGAACGCGTTGTTTTATAAATTGCTGTTACACAACCTAACACGTGATGGTTCAATTCTATACCATCGGTGTTCTAAATTTCATCCCGGTAAATACTGGTTACTGTACGTATAGGGAGATTTCAGTAAACTGTTTATTTATCTTTTAACTACGTGTGTCAATTTTCGTACTTCATTACCAGCTTTGTCTGTGATTGTCGCTTCATAAAAGCGGCATAAAGCAGATGTTACTACTATGAATGTTGGTTAACGCGAATAAAATTGAATTTAATTACAATGCAATGATATGTATT